CCTCCCTCCAGCCTTCCTTCTGCCCCGGCCCGCTGAGTGGACACCTTCTTGGCCCCTTGCTGCCGCTGTGCAGTGTGTACGTGGCTGTGTCTTGGGGCCTGTGAGCAGAGTGAAGGGCTCTGTGAGCGCGTCCCGGAAGCCCACTTGACTCAGTGCAGTGGAGAGAATGGGAGGGTGCTGGGTGCCTGAGAACCATGGTGAGGCAAGGAGATTGTGGGATGGAAACGTGGAGGAGGGCATCAGTGGCCGAACTTGGACCAAGAGCAGCTGTGCCCTTCCTTCCATCCCTCTCACCGTCCACATGTACATACCTGCACCCATGTACAGTCATCCGTCCTCCTGCCCTCCCTTCCTGCACCCATCCCCTCCTCCCTCCATCCATCCCTCCGTCTTCCTCATCCCTCCAACTATCCATCCATCCATCCATCTATCCATCCATCCATCCATCCATCCACCCACCTCCCATCCATCCATTTATCCACTGAATAGACCCACTTCCCAATGTCCCTTGACATTTTTTCTCTTGCTCTGCTTAGCCCTGCTCTCCTGTTTCCGGGCCCTCACGCACTCTCTTTCCTCTGGACCATCACCCCACCACACACACACACACACACACACATACACTTAACTAACACCTACTCTTATTTATGTTTCCGCTTAGAAGAAGCCTCACCACCACTGCCCCCAGTCTAAAGTAGGTCTCCTGCGGCTGCTCTCACAGAAGAACCCCGTTCCTCCCTCCTCATGGTTGTCACAGTATGTCACTGAACATCTGCTGTGCCTGTTTCCACGAGCAGACTCTTAAGTCCCACAAGGGTGGGGACCAGGTCTTTCTTCACTACCTACCAGGACCAGCTGTGCCCTTCCTTCCATCCCTCTCACCAAACCTACACATGCGAGTCCAGGCATCCATCCTCCTGCCCTCCTTTCCTCCATCGATCCCCTCCTTGTCTTCCTGTCTTCCCTCTCCCTCCATTTGTGCATCCCACAGCAGGGGCTCAGTAAGAGCCACCACATCATGGCATTGGGTGAGTTCAGAAGGAACCCACTGTGTGTGGAGTACGCGGCTAGCTGCCTGTCGGTTCTCGCTGATGGAGGCAGCTGCCTCTTGACGCTTACTGTATAGTGGGGAGAGAGAAAGAATGTGCGTGAAGCTTGTTAAGGCAGGGGTGGGTTATGAAGGAAGCAGAGAGGAAATGTGGTGGCAGGGGGTCCAGGTTTGAACGCTGGCCCTGCCCAGCCCTGACTGCTTAACGTTGGATAAGCCACTCTATCTCCATGAGCTTTAATTTCCTCACTGACGAAATGGAGCTAATAAAACTAGAGAGGGGAGAAAGAAGCACTATTACCATGAAATTGCTTTAAATTGTTCAAATATATCTTCAGAGTTCTGTGAAAAGTTTTTTAAATAGATAAAATTATTGTGAGGACTGGAATCAATGTGATTTATTGATGCAATTTTTTTATAGACAGATCCAAGTAATGGAAATTAATAAACAACTAAAACTGTGTATTTATTAGAGTCGCGCTGGCTGTGGTAGCATGAGGATTACGTGCACGTGAAGTCCATCTAGAAAGAAAGCTGGTGTAGGGTCAGCCATGGCTATCTCTGTTCTTTAATCTGCCTGGTGGCATGGGATAATCTTTGCTGAAGAGGTCCATGTTTCAACGAAGCTGTGAAAAATGTACACGATTCTAATATTCTAATACTACAAACATTAGATATAATTTTTAGCACTTTAATATACTCTTCCAGTTTCTGTGTCTGCGTAACAAATTGCCGGAAAGCATAGTGGTGTACGACCATCATTTATTAGGCTCACCGAGTGGGTGAGCCTTGGATCTAGACAAGGCGCGGTAGGAATGGCTCATCCCCGCTCTGTACACTGAGGTCTCTGCTGGAAGACTTAGAGGCTGGGGACTGAATTATGTGAGGGCTCACATGTTGATGTACATGTCCGGTGTGGGTGCTGGCTGTCCTCTGGGGACCTCAGTTCCTCCTTTCAGGCACCCTTCCCGTGTCTGTGTGGGCCAGACCGAGCTTCCTTACAACATGGCGATAGGATTCCAAGTAAATGTGTGTGGACAGAGAGATGGATCCAAGGGGAAGCTGCATCCTTTTGATGACCTAGCCTTGAACGTGATATACCATAAACTCCAGCACCTTTGTAAGAAGAACGTGTTGGATGGGAGACAAATATTGATGCCGCCATCTTTGGAAAGACAGATCCTGACACACATGTAGTATCTCATGTGATCCTGACTACAACCTATGAGGAAGGGACTCTTCATAATTCTGTTTTGCAGAAGAGGACGTTAAGGCTCAGCAAGGTCAAAATTTTGCCCAAGGTCATGCCTGATAAGTGGCAGAAGTAGGTTTTGAACTCAAGTCTCAGTGACTCCAAAGCCATTACCATTACATTTACTGCCTGCCGAGTGTAGAGTAAGGATGCCAACGGTGCGTTCTCTTTCTTGAGATCCTTAATTGGCTGGATCCCTCTGAGATGCCATTGACTCACGGCACCTTGGTGAATCATGGCTTGTTCTGGTGACATTCTAGGCAGGGGCCCCGCACAAGGACAAGCCTGCATGAGAAGTAGGGTATAAGTAATTCAACATGGCAGGAGGACACATGATGTGGTGTGGGCATTAAGATGGGAAAGGTTGATTGGGGTCAGATTAGGGAGGGACCTCAAATCAAGCAAGGGGATTTAGACTTTCCTGGGACAATGAGGAGATCCCAGAGTTTCTGAGCAAGTCAGCAATATGTCCAGAAGAAATTAATTAGGAAGAGCGTGAGAGATGATGGGTTGGGGGGGAGCCTATGGAGACCTTGTTGTGGGGGGTGGTCAGAGCAGCTGGAGTGATGGGGTTCGCTTGGTGGTGGGCCTGTGGGAACTAGGGTCAGAGGGCTTGATGAATGAGAGGGGTAACCCAGAGGAGGAATCAGAGAACTTTGTCGGGCCACGGAAGGAAGCACAGCACCACAGAAGGCTCCAGGGCAGGAGCAGAAAGGAGCTATTCGCAGAAGATCGCGAGAAGGAGGTATGAAAGGCCAACATTTCTGTTGGGAATCAAGTGTTGGGTTTTGGAGCTCAGAGAAGAGCCAGAGCAGATAGGAGAGTCTTTGTAGAGAGGCTTTGATCAACATCATCAGAGGAGGGGAGGCAGTGTGGCAGGAGGAGAACCGAACCCAGGACTTTGGAAAAGGAGAGGATGGGCACGTGGTTCTCAAACTTTGGTGTGCAGCATCGCCCTGGAGAGAGTGAATCAAGCACTCAGAGATCCAGGTGCATCAAAGCAGGGCCTTTCCATGCCCTGGGGAGGTGGAAAGGGTGGGGGACAACTACGGGCTTACCGACTTCCCAGGGGATTCTGAGACCCACTGTTAAGAGCCACTAGCTTGAGCCCAGATGGTCATTCTCAACCTTGGCTCATGTTGGAACTACCTGAGCTGCTTCAGAAATACCCACACCTGCGTCCCATCCGCCCCTTGGGGGACCTTAAAGGCCCCTCAGGGGCTTCTGAGGCTTAGCCAGCCTGAGGGATACCTGGTTGAAGGAGAGGGAAAAGAGTCAGTGGTGTTCAAGGGGTTGGGAAATAATAGTCAAAACAGCAGGAGACCAGGTGGTTTGGAACGTGGCCCCCTGGGCCGGGGAGGGGACAGTGGGCCATGGGGACATGCAGCTCAGTGTTCGGTGGTCAGAACCTGATTGCACATGGAAATGCTGATGGCCAGCTCACACCCCGTACCAGTGGAAACAGAAATCTGCTGGTGAGTTCTTGAACTTGGCATCAGCACTTTTTCTAATGGCCAAGCTGGGGACCTTGATGTTTCTCACACTTGAATGTGGACCACGCCCTTCACCGGGGGTCTGGTGATGATGCCATTTCTGATTCAGTAGGTCTGAGGTGGGCCTTGAAACTCTGCATTTCTAGCAGGTTCCCAGGGGCGCCCAGGCTGCTGGCCCACGGACCACACTTTGAGCAGCAAGGATGTGCATTCATGTTCAAAAGTCCTGACGTTCAGGGGCACCTGGTTGGCTCAGTGGGTTAAAGCCTCTGCCTTCGGCTCAGGTCATGATCTCAGGGTCCTGGGATCGAGCCCCACATCGGGCTCTCTGCTCAGCGGGGAGCCTGCTTCCTTCTCTCTCTCTCTCTCTGCCTGCCTCTCTGCCTACTTATGATCTCTGTCAAATAAATAAATAAAATCTTAAAAAAAAAAAAAAAAAGTCCTGACGTTCAGCAGGGACACCCCTTCCCGTACCCCAGCGTAGCCTGCTGCTACTAGAATCAAACCCCACCGCTGTTCCAGCAGGCAGGTGGGCGACCAGAAGTCGCTCTCTTCTGCTTCTCTGCTGCTCTCTTCCCCTCCTGGCTGACACACCAGAGCTGGGAGAAATGTTCCCTGCTTTTCTGCCAGCGGGGTAAGCATGTTTTTAAAAGAGCAATATGGTGTTTCCATTCACACATGCATGGGCCTCCCACCCAAGGCAGAGGAGGGAAATCACCTCCTTTCTCCATGAGCATCCAAGACCCCATCCTCTGCAGAGTACCCAACCTTGCCTCCACCAAGAACCTAGCACACCAGCCCCATCAGCCCCGTGATATGCCCTTCGCCTCACGCTGAAACCCCAACTGCCCTTCCAGATGCAGATCTGAGTTCAAATCCTGGCTCTGCCCCTTCCTAGCCATGTGCCCTTGGACAAGTCGAGGAACCTCTGAGCCCGTCTGGGCAGTTTTTCCCTTTGTAAAATGTGTGAAATAATGACCAGCCTGTTCGTGGTTGCAGGATGAATTGATCAGTTCACGGATATGGATATAGATCCAAAAAGCTCAAAGAGGGACGTTTCCTAATGATGGGCTTCTAGGGTGGGGTGACGGGGTCAGGTGGGTGGTCTGAGCCCTGCGGCCTCCTTCCCCATGGTCATCCTGCCACTGCCATGCCCAGCCCAGGAGCTGGGCAGTCTGACCCCCACATCCGCTCTTCCCTCCTGCAGACATGGGGAGCTTTGAGGAAGGCGAGAAGCACCAGAGTGTCTCCCACGGAGAAGCAGCTGTCATCCGTGCCCCACGCATTGCCAGCTTCCCACGGCCACAGGTGACCTGGTTCCGGGACGGCCGCAAGATCCCGCCCAGCAGTCGCATGTGAGGCCCTGCCCTGGAGGGGGGACCCACGAGGCTCGCCCTGGTGGGGAGGGGATCTGGGACCTCCCCAATGACAAGAGAAGGGTGGCTTATAAGGAGGGGCTTTCTGGGAACACGCGTGTGAAGACTTGGAGACACAACAGCTCGGTGGCTTTCCTGGGGAACCCCAGGGCGTTGGCCCCCTTCTCAGCTGCTTCCCAAAGCACTTAAACCCCCAACAGACAGCGACAGAAGCCATGCCCATCTGCAGTAGGGCGCTGGCGTGTCCCCGGCAGGGTGGCCACCCAGCTGCTTCCTGTGTGGGGCGTGGGTGTGGCTGTGTGTGTTTTGGCTGCCAGGAGGAGGGGAGGCCAGGGGAGGCCCCGGCAGGGAGAGAAATACATGGCCCTTTCAGCAGTAACAAGGACCCTCTGTGTGGCCCAGGGCGTGGGTTGTGGCAGCCGGGCATGGGGGCAGGGGCTGTGGAGTCAACACCTTCACAGGGGGCCGGGGGCAAAGCGTTTCCTCCAGGGACACTCCCGGCCCTCCTGATCCCGCCTCGGGGTCCGGAGCCAGCCTAGGCCCTTTTGGATTCCAGCTCTCCCCCCGCTCCCAGAAAACAAGAAAGACCACCTTTGTCCTGGTGTCTGCAGGCCACAGGTCAGCTGTGGGCGGAACCCGTCCTCGTCTGTGGGAAGTGGGAGCCAAGATGGACAGTGTTGTCTTTGGGCTGAGAGGGGCCTTAGAAGGATAGCATGATAGCATCCCAGCACGAACAGTGGCTGTCGCTCATTAAGTGGCCGCTGTGTCCTCAAACCTGGGCTAAGCACACTACACACGCCATCCTCTCCTCCAGGATGGGTGTGTACCTCCCTGCGTGAGACACTGTGTCTTGTTCCCCTTTCAGTCCCCAGAGCACAGGCCCAGCTCACGCCCGCGGGAGGAATGACCCACACAACAGTCCTGTGAGGGGGCTGGCTTTGGCTCTGCTTTCTGGACGGGAGACCCCCCCGGAGCTGAGCTACGTTGCCGGGTCTCACACAGCTGGTTCCAGGCTCCCCGACTCCAGAGTCAGGGACTTTAGTTCTATCTTGCATGGAAATTATGTGACAACAGGGACCCAGACAAGGAGAGAAGAAGGATAAACTGATTGTGTGTGCAGAGAATTGGTCCTGGTACAGTGATTCTCAACCTGGTTACCTGTTAAAATTGTTTTGGACTATTTAAAACGAGTTGATCTTTAGATCCTAGCCCTGCGCATTCTGGTTTGTTGACATGGGGTGTACCCTGGCGCATAGCTCCCCAGAGACTCTGATGTGCAGCCACAATTGAGAACCACTGTCCTAGAATATGTCCGTTACCCACAGACACAGAAATGCTGCATAACAAAAGGCCCCAGGGACCCAAGGCAGTGAGCATTTCTGTGTCCTCTGAATGTGCAGATTGGGGGACCTGGGCTCGGGCTCCCTCACTCGCCTGGGGTCGGATTGGCAGGTCAGATTAGCCTGGGGGACTCTACTCCACATGTCCCATCCTCCAGCCAGCCAGCCCCAGCTTCTAGAAGTTGCAGAGGAGTAGGGAGAGAGCAGAAACATGGATTTGCCAAGCTTCTGCTAACATCCCGGTGGTTGAAGTGAGTTACATGGTAGGACTCAGCCTCCATAAGCAGGGGGATGCACTGTGCCTCTTGAGTGGGAAGACCCACAAAGTCACATGGCAAAGGGTGTGGCTTCAGAGCTGGGGGAGCACCGGGGTCGTCCCTCCGGCCCCCAGGTTAACGGGCGGGTGGATGGACTCCTGCTGTAGGAGGCTGAGGCTTCCTCACGCCTCCTTAAGGGTCAGTAAAGCCAGCAGAACGTGATTTACCCTTCACACAGACAGTGAGGCTGACTTGCAGCAGGGGGGCGTGGCACTCCCCGACACAGGTGCCGAGACACCTGTGAACACGCATGTCCCCAGCCCTCCCTGGCCCCCTTCTCTGAGGTTCTCGCTCAGCTCCAGGTGTGCCCGTGACGGCAGCCTGCAGGCCGGTCAGCGGGCCGAGGCCGCCTGGAAGGCCGTGTTGAGAAGGATGCTGAGGCCGCATCCAGACTGGGGGGCCAGAGCGGCGCTGTGACAGGTCACAGTGGGCTCCGTGGCCGCCGGAGGGCTCGTGGGCGCGTCTCTCCAGCATCCGCTGTGGCGGATGAGAGCCTCTCTCCGCCCTCGCACCCATCGCCCCTCGCCTCACACCGTGCCACCCCCTCTTCTCACTCCCACCCTCCGTCCTCACCCCCTCTCCATTCCCAACAGCCTCTGGCGCCGGGACAGAGTGATCTTGGCGCGCAGACACATGCCGCCTTCGTGGTCACACCCGCCGCCTTCCCGCCCGCTGCAACGCTCCAGCCAAGCACACGAAGGAGGGCTGTAGAGATGGTATCTCAGCAGTTACAGCGGATTAATATTCCTGGCGGAGAGGAGAGGTCCCTGGAAGCAAACTCCCCGGCGTCTGTTTGCCGGAGTTCGTATCTGCCGCGCGCCGTCGGCCAGAGGGGCGTGCGGGGCGCCCGCGGCAGCTGCTGTCTCCAGGGGGTCCCTCGCTGCCCGGGCAGGGACGCCGATTAGCCACACTTTGCCGGCGCCCTGGTGCTCCCTGTTGGAAAGGAGGCAGGACGCCCCGCAAAGACCCATGCTGGGGGCTTCGGGCAGGTTCTACGACGATTTCTTTTATTCTTAATTAAATTACCAACAGGGCCCCCGTGGACCCGAGGGGAAGGAAAGGTCTGGCTTAGTAGGAGGAGGGACGGAAGGCAGGGTGGGAGCTGGGCCAGTGATAGAAGTGGGAAAAATCGAGTCCGTTGGCGCCTGAAGAGTGTGGCTGGGGAACAGAAACCCGTCCCTGCCTGAGAGCTGAACCCTGACCTCCGTGCCCCACGTGTATTCCAGTAGCTTCCTTCAGAGTTGAGTGAGTCTGGGGTGCAGGAGGCCAGAAGGCCCTCTGAGTGCCAGGAACAGCTCTGTGCCCTTGGCAAGTGAGGTACGGGGTCATTCCAGAACCATCTATCGAGGGGTGGTCATGCTGCAGAAGGTGGGAAGTCCAGGAACCTTCCTCAGCCACCTGCTGAGGGCGGGGGGAGGGCGGGTCAAAGGCCGTGAGGGCTTCCAGTCCCTCTGCCACGTTCGGAGCTCCAGCCCTGGCCCTGAGGGCCCCGATCCAGAGTGTTCTTGCCCCTAGTGCGAGTCAAGGCAACACCAGCTGCAGGGACAGACCCCCAAATCCCAGGGGCTTAGCTCATTTGAAGTCCCAGCAGAGGCAAGGGAGGAGAGGGACGCTCCTCCACATTCATTCGAGGGCCCAGCTGATAGGGGCTCAGCTGTCCTCAGCCCTGTTCCAACTGAGGGGAGAACCTAGGAGTCACACAGGAGTCCTCAGTGTCTGAGCCTGAAGATGGCCCATACAGCTTCTGCCATATCCCACCAGCCCAGCCCCACGCCCCCACCTGGCTTCCCGGCTGCTTGCGTCTCACTGGAAGGGGAGCCTGAAACAGGGATGAACTGCCCCCCACTGTGCCCTCCCACCTGGGATGGGGCATCTCCACCACGGCCTAGTCCCCACTTGGGGCCTGAAAAACCGTTGTGTGGGTGGTACAGTGCGTTGTAGGACCCTTAGCAGCATCCCTGACCTCTACCCGCCAATTCCTATCACAGTCCCACAGCTGTGATACCAGCACGTGTCTGGACATTGTCCAGTGTCCCCTACAGGGTGAAGCCACCCCCGGTTGAGAACCACTGACCTAGAAGAATCCTTCGTAATGTAGACAACATAGAGCAAAAGCAGAGATTAGGGGGTGAGGTGGGTCTTCCTGGTCAAGGAGAGAAAGCCCTGGACATGGGAGCCCTCCCTGGAAGCCAGAGGTGGCTCAGGGTAGGCAGGTGTCCAGGGAGTGTGACCTGGCCACGCCCAGTGCGCCCAGCTTCCAGAAACTTCCTTCAGCCACTCCTCCAGTGCCACAGTGTCAGGAGAGGGTGGGGAGCTCCCGTCAAGTGGTCCAGGGGCACCGCCGCTCATCACGTTAGTCCCGACATTGGACTGCAGGCCAGGTGAGGGCTGTGGGAGAGGGAGGGTGACAGCCTCAGGCCAGATGTGGACAGGACCAGAGCAGTGACAGGAGTCAAAGTTCCTCAACCTCGTGGCTCGGAAGGATCTTCACAAGCATTTTTTTCCACCCCCTTCACAGATGGGGAGACAGGTTCAGCACAGAGGACGATGTGCTCTTTCAAGGCTACGGCCAGAGCCCATTCCAGAGCTGCCCCTGGCCCTTGACATGGCCCAGCCTTCCTCCCCCACCCTGGCCTGGCCCACAAGCTACACTAAAGGACAAGGACCTTGGCAAGAGACTTCCAGGGAGGGAAATGGTCCCTGTTCCTGTCCCAGCTTGTCACTTTTAAAATATTTTAGCCTGGTGTTATCTTAACTTCCTATCAGCTCATTAGCTGGAGGGTGGTTTTCCGCCAGGGAAAAAAAAAATGGGTACTGTTGGGGTACCCAAGAATTGGGGCGGGAGGGCTTTCCCCTCCCTACTTCCCAGAGCTCCGCTGGCATTATGAGACTCAGCCCAGGAGCCCTTCAGAACCAGGAGAGAGGGGACACCAGCATGGCCCAGCTAGAGAGGCATTAGTGGGGATGTTTATTTGAAAGCCTGTTTAAAACTGTAACATTCACCTAATGGGAAAATTTGCAAAGAATTCAACTGGGTCTGTCCTTGTTAAACTAACATTAAGGATGTTTAACAGCTGTCTCGGGTACATCACATTAAAATCCGAGCTAGACTTGACAAACTAATGGTTTTGTTTGTCATGGAGAAAACGGGGGGGTGGGGGGTGCGCAGGCAGAGGGGGCGTGGGCAGTGCTCCTGGTGCTGTCTCCCCCACGTCAGATGGGGGTCCCAGCTTCCTGCCTGGACCGGCCCCTTTCCCTGCCTGCAGACCAGGTGCTGCGGGGCTGCATGGTGGGACCCCAGCAGGAGGAACCTGCACCCCACTGCCTAGCTGTCCTCCTTCCTCTTCAGCCCGCAACAGTCTCATTCTTGTCGACCAGCTTCGGGAAGAGAGCTCCTGACAGCCCGAGAGGGGGCTGGGGGGCCAGAGGAACCCCCGTCATGGGTGTTACAGGCCACCTGTGGCTTTGGGATCAATCCCAACAAATGCAGGATGAGGTTAAGGCATCGATTCTGGAATGATCCTGCTCAATTCTAAATTCATGATCATCACTCCTCATTCGTTCCTTGTTCATGTCCACTGAATGGATTTCTTTGGTGCTGGACTCTCCTGGTGCAGAGAGGGTCACACTCAGCATCGAAGCTGTGACGAAGGAGAGAACAGAAGGCCGTGGGGGCTCGGACGCCCGGGACCAGCCGTGGGGTGGGGGCCGGGAAGCCTCCCGGGGATGGTCTCGGACCACTGTGCACGTGCTGGGTTTGGGTCTAACCCCGGCACTGGCGGCATGTTGGGATTCTCTGCAAAGAGTCATGCTAGAGTTGAGGCCGTCAGTGGTCCCGGGAGCGGGGCTGGAGGAGGGGCTCCAGGGGCCTCCAGCTTCTTGTCCCCACGCCCATCCTCCAATGCTCAGAGCCCCCCGGCCCCCATGTGACAGATCCCTTTCCTCTGCACAGAGCCATCACCCTGGAGAATACCCTCGTCATCCTGTCGACGGTGGCTCCCGACGCAGGCCGCTACTACGTGCAGGCTGTTAATGACAAGAACGGGGATAACAAGACCAGCCAGCCCATCACTCTTGCCGTGGAGAGTAAGTAAGCGGCCGGGCCTGGGACGGATGGAGGAGCACGTCATTAAATCTTGGGAACGGGGCTCCAGAGGGTCGTTGGGAAGATGGAATGGTGACTCAGACGGAGGCTAGAGTAGGGCAGCGAAGGGGCCCTGAGGAATTGGAGGCAGAGCCCCAGCACTGGGAGCGTGGGGAGTGGAAGCAAGGAGGGAGCCGAGCGCCAGACCCCGTCCCCGTGACAGAGCTGAGATCCTGCATCAGGGGAAGGAACTCCGAGCTGGCTGTTAGCAGGGCTGCTGGGGGCCCGGGGAGGACATGAGATGCAGGGGAGAGTATGCGTGTGTGGCTTACGGCTGCTTCCAGGGCTCAGGGGCTGACGGGGAGCTCGTGCAGGAGATGAGGAGCTCATTAGGAGAGAACCACTCTCACAGCTTCTGCTCCGCTGGTCCATACAAAGCACTCCTCAGAGCCAGGCCATCTCCACTCATGGGAACAAGCCCTCTGCCAAGGCTCCTGCCTGAAAATGCCTCTCTGCCCATCCCAGAGACCACTCAGCGCCCTGGAAGAGATGGGCCAGGCTCTCCCCAGTGGCAGAGGCAAAGGGGCAGCTCCTTGGGTCTCCTTTGGCAGACAGAGGTTTGTCCAGTGGAGACTGAAGGCAGGGGTCTGGTCCCTGATGGAAATGCTGGGACGCCCTCCCTGGCCTGATTCTCGCCAAGCAGCCTGGACCCCTCCTCCCTCTGTGCTCCGTCCCTGGGAGAGAGAAGGCGGGGGTGGGGGGACCGTGGCTCCGGCAGCCGGCCCAGGCCCAGAAGCACCGAGTATGTAGGACCAGAGCTTGCCGCAGCAGCCGAACAACCACACAAGCTGGGGGAGCCAGATGTTCACGTCCCTCCACATCTGTACCACTCCTGCTCCAGAAGCAAGTCTCATTTATCATCCATGGTCTCGTGGGGGCATAGCCGCCAGCAGCAAGAGGCGGGTGTGGGTCTGCGTGGGGCCTTCCTGTGTCCTGACCCTGATCCTGCCTCTGTCTGCCAGTGTCTGGAAGGCCCAGAACATTCCAGAGCCCTACCATGTCCATTCCTGGGTCTTCTGCGCACCAGCAGAACTGCTTCCCATATTTCTGGAATTCCCTCCTTCTCCGGCCCCAGCTTCCAGTCGGCCTAAAAGGACACCTGAATATACAGAGCGGGGTTCCTCCCCCCATCGGGGTCACATGTATACCTTCTCGTATCAATCTGGGCTAGGGTCTTGGTCTGGTCCCCGTAGCCTGGAGCCCAGCCATGATGTGGGGCTGCTGTTTCAAGGGAACTTAATCATCAGGGGGAGATGTTTTCCCCCCATATATTCTCGATGATCAGAATACCTAGAGTCTAATAGAATTCAGTCACTGGGGAAGAGGCAATGTTCACAGTCTGAGTCAAGCCAGGCGTCTTCCTGGGTGACTTAGTTTACCCTGGGACCAGAGGCTGGAGTCCCCAACTCTGTGCTTCTCTCCAGCACCCAACCTCCTCCTCTCAGGCCTTAAGCCCATGACTCTGCGGGCAGACTCTGGATGTCCTTCACTCTTTGCCCCATTGCGACTCCCACCCCAGCCCTGCATCTGGCCCGAGGGAGGAGGGTAGGACCCTTCCGGACCCCCATGTCCGCCCAAGCCTCCCCCGGTCGTCTCTTTCCCCCACCCCATCACCCTCGCCTTCTGCTCTCACGTGGTGATTTGTACTGGATGAAGAGCAGAATCAGCTGATTTTCAGCTAATTTCTCCTCCCACGAGTGATTGCACTTCAAAACCCTGTTCATGTCACCGACACAAATCCCCCAGCCTGCCTGCCAGCCAATTTACCAGGAGCGACTGCCACTTCACCCACCACCAGCCGCCCTCACTGATCTCGGGGAGCACGGCCCCTCCCTCTACTCCCCCTCCTCGCCCCTTCAGCCCTCCTCTGCCCTGGGGACACTTTCTGAGAGGCCCTGGGGCGGGCAGGTGGAGGGATGCCCCTGCTCTTCAGAAATGGAGAAGTTAAAAACAAGGCCAGTGCCCCCAACCCCCGGAGTTGGGAGCAGATCCCTGCCCAGAGGTCACCCCGGTGACCTCACACACACTGTCAACCTGGACCGTGGCCCCACACGCAGGATTCAGAGCTGCACTGTCCGATGGAAATGTAATGGGAGCCACGGGAGTAATTTACAATTTGCCAGTCGCCTCATTTTTAAAAAAGGAAAAAGCAACGGGAAATTAATTTTATTAATGTGTTTTATTTGCCCCAACATATCCAAAACATTACCATTTTCACATACAATCGACAGAAAATATTAACGAGGTCCTTGACGCTGGGCTTCTCTTTCCTACTAAGTCTCCGACATCTCTGTGTTTCATGGTCTGAGCACATCTTTGGGCTGCTCAGTTCTCATCTGAAATACGTGATCTGCATTGAAACGTCATCAGATTTACGGCTGGAAAGGTGGTGGTGGATACCCGAGTTGTTCTACACATACTTAAAAGTGTTCTAATAGCTGATTTGGGGATCTTTTTAAATTAAATGTAAATTAGATCAAATTAAATCCCGTTCAGTCAAAGGGGCGCCAGTCACATTTCAAGAGCTCCTAGCCACCTGTGGTTCGCGGCCCCCATGTCAATGTCTGCCCCCGAGAGGAGCTTAGCTCCCTGCCCACACCCCTCGTGCGCGCACACACACGCACTTGACCTGTGGCCCAGGTAGTCACGTGGTCCTTGAGCTTCTGTTCCTGGTGTCTCTGGCAAAGTGTAGTTGGGACGATTCGAGGAGGTGACCCGGGGAGAATGCAGCACAGTGGTGTCCCTCCTGGTGCCCATTATCAGAATCATCCCGGGGCAGCAGGATCCAACTTTGCCTGTGTGGAGAGCCCCGGTGCATCCAAAGAGCTAGGGGGCAAGGAGCTGCTAGCATGGGGCCCCCATCAGAGAGCACCTGTCAGCAAGGTGTTCTGCTTAGGGCCAAGTCTGTGCCACCCAGGGCCGTCTTAACATCCCCAGTCCACCCCAAGCTGTCCATCTCTGCCTTCACACCACTCCAGAATGGGGAGCTGGTGAGGTCAGGGGGAGCCAGGGAACAGGGCGTAGGGGTGGGAGGGACAAGGGCCGTTGGCTTCTTTACTTCTGGGGACCAGAGAAAGGGAGCACCGTGTGGGAAACACAGTGCAGGTGGGGGGTCCTGGAGCTTGGGGAAAGGGGTGCTGGAGAAGGAGGTCCACAGAGCTACATGTCCAGAGCTGTCAAAGAGAATCGGGGTGGAGGAAAGGGGACTTGCAACCAGGAGGTGACGGATGACAGGGGAAGGAGAATGCATGCATGGGAGCTGGGGGGAGAGGGACCAGGGACGCTGGTGGCAGCCAGGAGCTGGGGGTAAAGGCTGAGTGGAGCTCAGAGGAATGTTCAGACAACTTGCGGCAGAGCGGACGGAGGCCAAAAGGGAGATTTGTTTCCCTCTGTGCCCTAGCAAGGACTGAGCCAGAGAGATGATTTGGGGAGTGGTTAATGGCACGCGTTTGCAGCCCTGGAGACCTGGTCCCATTCCTGAGTTTGTCCCTCATTAGCAACTGTCACTGGGAAGTAAACTACTTAATGTCTCCGGCTTTCTCAGCTTTCTCGTCTGTAAATTCTGGATGACGATAATGACCGGTCGCCAGTGGCCATCATGGTGAGGGAGTAGGCGGGTTCAGCAGAGTGCGGGAAGGGGCCGGATGGGTGGGACCTCTTACCCTCAGTTGGAAGGTCCTGGAGGGTCTGCGCCTTTCGCCTCCTGGTAGCCTCTGGGTCCATTACGTGGTTTCGGCAGGTTGGGGGAGGGAGACAAGGAAGCTGTCCCCCAGGATAGGGGAGTACCGATTCCGCGCCCAGTACTGCGCATTCCCCCTGGACAACTTGGCCGCCCCCACCAGGGCCCTTCTTCCCAGCATCCATCCCACCAGCTCTGATCCGATAAGTGTCTAAGCACTGATCTGAGATCCAGACCACGCGTTCCATGAGGACAGACCCCTGCCCATCTCTTAGTGGGGGATCCATGGTGCCCAGCACAGTGTGGCAGTAACAGAGCCCTCCCCCAGCAAAGATCTGTTGAGCAAGGGGCTGAACTCACAGAACCTTGCGATAACGGTCATTTTTATTCCCATATTGCCTTGGAGAAAAATCAAGACCCAGCTGAGGCTCCCCGCACCCCCCTCCCTGCCCCCCACCCCCGATGGCTGGGGCAGAACAAAGTTTTGAACTAGGTCCTCCTGACCCTCCCAGCTCTCCTTTGCTGGGTCCAGGGGTCTCCAGCTGTGGCTGGTCCCTCCCCTGCCAGGACTGAGGCATGACCCCCAGGATCCCCGGTGGATGTCTGTCTCCCCTTCACCCAGCCAGCCACCCTGAGGCCCTGGGCTGCCCCTCTTACCTTTAAACTCCGAGGGCTCTGTTTACCTGGCTCCGCAGTGGGACGCGTCCTTGGGCTCTAACTGTCTGTCTCCTCCTCCTGCCCCATTAATCTGGGCCGCGGTACCTGCGAGCCCCAGCATGTAATAAACAACTTAGAGCACACTTTTATGGATTTAGCTATATCAGCAGCTTTCAGTCCGATCACTCTTTATGGCACCTACATGAGGCTTTTATATTGTTGCAATTATTCTGCTTTATATGCTTCCTTTCTTCCCTCTTCATTTTACCTTATTTTTTACATTTTATTCCCTTTCCTAGCAAAGTCTGGAGTCCAGGCAGGAAAACCTGCCCGGGGCAGACCGGGGTGGCCCAGGGTGGCAGTGGGGCCATGATACACTCTCCCCATAAAGGATGTCCTGGCACGGTCCCCCATCCCCGCCCGCCCAGGGCTGCACAGGTCATTACAGTCGGCTGCCTCCGGAACCTCCCGGGAAGGAGGCAACTGGGTGGGTTTTCGGGAGAGAAAAAGCCCTTCGTGGTGGTTCTTCCGGGAGCCCTGGCGCAGGTGCGTGGAGAATGTGGGAGTTTCTGCCAATACTGGGTCTGTGCTGACCCACCAAGAGCCGGGCCACTTCTTAAAGAACTCAAACAAGGCAAAAGGCAAAGCTACTCCCTCTGGTAGAAGAGTTTAGGGTACGGCCTTGTGTCGCGTTTAGAAAGCCCGCTCGCGGTACGTTCTCTTGCATTTCAATGTCCCACCCCGAGGTGGCGCGGGGATAGCTCTGGGTCCATTCGTGTCTTCACTGAACAAATAATGCGTGCGCCCCTACTGTGTGCCGGGCATGTCTCTGGTGCTGGAGGGGATGTGAGCAAGGCTGTCTTTGCTCATCACAGGTTACCCAGCCGGGGCTTCAGCACAGGCAGTGACCTCTCGCAGTTCGGGAAATCCAAGGTCAAGGGACCAGCATGGTTGGGTTGTGCTGAGGCCTCCCCTCCTGGCTCGCAGACAGCTGCCTTCTCACTGTGTCCTCGAGTGGCAGAGAGAGAGCTCTGGGGTCTCTTTCTCTTCTGATCAGGGCAGCAGCCCTGTTGGATTAAGGCCCCACCCTTATGACCTCCTTCAAGCCGATGACTGACGAAAGACCCCATCTCCAAATACAGTCACATGGGGGGGGGGCAGTGGTTAGGGCTTCAACATACAAATTTGGAGGAGATCTAATTCTGCCCAAAAACAAGGCTCTGTGAGGTTCCTGCCCCAGAGAACGTATTAGCTTCCTTGGGCTGCTGTCACAAAGCCCTACACACTGCGGGGCTTGTAACCACAGAAATGGACTCTCGGACAGTTTTAGAGGCCGGATGTCTGACGTTGAGATATCGGCGGGCCTGCGCGCTCCCTGAAGGCTCCCCCAGACTCTAGGGGAGGGTCTGTTCTCGCCTCCCAGCATCTAGCAGTGGCTGCCAGTCCTTTGCATTCCTTGCCTTGGGGATGCTTCTCTCCAGGTCTCTGCCTCTGTGTGCACCCGGCCTTCTCCCCTGGGTGTCTATGTGTCTGGGTCTCCATTCCACTCCTCTCGTGTTGCCACCCTGCTGTTGGCCCGCTGGGTGACACGTGCTATTGGCCTTAGAACCCACTCGGATCCAGAAGGACCTCCTCTTGACTTGATCACACCTGCAAGACTCTGTTTCCCGAGGTTGCATCCACAGCTGCCGTGGACGTGAATTTGGGGGGTTACGGTTCAACCCAGTATAGGGAGTGTGCATTCAGGTGGTAAAGGGGGCCGGAGAAGACGTAAGGTCACAAGAGAAATATGGATGGAGGGAAGGATTTTGAAGGCACAGACAGGAGAAGGGGCTCGGGGAGGGTATGTTGTGTGACAGGAAGGTGGGGAGGGCCCCAGAGGTCTCCAGTGGGCACTCGCTGGACGCCATGGGAGCCCATGACCAGAGGGAGGAGGAGAGGTGACAGGGACCCGGGGGTCCTGCTGCTTGGGCAGCTGCCCCGTGGTCTCGTGGTCACCTGCCCCACTCCACGAGGACCAAGGTCTCCTGAGCAGAGATGGGATTTCCACCCTCTGTCTCCAGCTAACTCCTGATCTCTCCCCAGATGTCGGGGGGCCTGCAGACCCCATTGCCCCAACCATCATCATTCCTCCCAAGAACACTAGCGTGGTGGCTGGGACCTCGGAGGTGACCATGGAGTGTGTGGCCAACGCCAGGTGGGTGGTATGTCCCCCTCTCCCTGCTCCCCTGCACCCTGAACTCCAGCCAACGCTCCTGACCTGGGGGCTCCAAAGGGACCAGCCTGAGTTCAGAGAGGTCTTCACGTGTCACATGAGGACCCAGGAAAGGAGATGGGGCGTTGGCCCTGGAGGATGGGGTGACGCGTGGACCGGCTAGCTTGTTCTCTGTGGCCCTCAAGGAGAGACTGGGCCCTGGTGGAAGTTACAGGCCAGCAGACCTCAGTGCAACCCCGAAGGCGACCTGGAATGTCAGGTGTGGTCCTGGTTTGCGGGCAGCTAGGACAGGGACGTGGGGCTGGGAGATGGCTCGTGTGGGGGCCTTGGCAGGAGGGCAGACCTGGGGTTGGGTGCAATTGGAGCTCCTTCCTGGCCACGTATGACCCTCACGTCCCTCACGTGGGAAACTGAGGTGTCATCACATGTGGGTGCTGCGCTGTTCGTCCCACACGATTCCTGTTCCTCCCACAACTACCCTGAAGCCCAGAGAGGGCAAGCAACCTGCCCGAGGTCACCCAGCGGGCCAACAGCAAGGTGACAATAGAAAAGGCCACCACCCGAGGCCCAAGCCCATTGCCTTGCTCTGGGCCTCAGTCTCCTTGGCTGTAAAGCGGGACTGATTTGAGCACCCACCTCCCCGGCAAGGCGTGTAGGTAGAGTGCTGAACCCGCCTCGTAAGCACTCAGGAGAGGTGGTCGGATGGGACGGGTGGGGAGTCAGACCAAGGGCCCCAGGGTCACCTCCTGTTGAAGATTCCCAGACCGCGGTCCTGTAGCAGCGTTCCCCACGAGGGTGGGAGAGGCCTTTGCATGGAGCTCACTAAGGGCGCAGAGAAGACCCACAGCCCAGAACCTGCCTAACGGCCCCCGAGCCGGGAAAGCCCACACTTACTCCACCTCAGGACTCTTTTCCATGGGACCCCTCTGCACCCCCTGTGGAGCTAGCACAGACCCCTTGAGGGTCCAGCAGACGCCAAACGAGAGCAGGCCACAGGGTACCCGGGTGGCTCAGTCGGTTAAGCGTCCCGTTAAACGTCCAGCTCTTGGTTTTGGCTCAGGTCGTGATCTCAGGGTCGTGAGGTCGAGGCCAGCCTTGGGCTCCACACTCGGTGCAGAGGCTGCTGGAGAGTCTCTCTCTGACCCCCCCCACCCCTGCTCGAGCTCACGCATGTGTTCTCACTCTTAATCCATCTTTTAAAAATATAAAAACAAAATAAATGGGAACAGGACAAACCCAATCTCGGGGGGTCTTGAGAGGTCGGGGATGGGGGCGCCCGACTCATCCTCTGTCTAGGCAAGGGGCAGGTATGTCCGGCTGCCTGCCTTTCCCTCTTCAAACCTTGAGTGTTTCTCTCACGCCCCACCTCTAACGCTGTGCCGCCCTCTGGCCTCTGCTCGGACAGGGCTCTGCGCCAGGGGGCAGAAGAGCGAGAGGCCCGGCCCAGGCGGCTCCTGTCCTCTGGAGTCCCGTGCACCAAGTTAGTGCCGGGCTGGGCTCCAGCTGCCTCCCTGCGTTGGAACACCCGGCCTCGGCACAGGGGTGCAGCTGTCCCATTCTGTAGACAAGGAAACCGAGGTCTGGAGTGCTGCCCCTTGAAGAGGGCGGGCTGGGGCCCTGGCCTGCCCTCCCACCCACCCCTGCCCTGGCCCTTCCGGCCTCTCCCAAGTCCCCGTGGCTGGGAACCTACTTTCCTCTCGCCCTCCAGGCCCCTGATCAAGCTGCACATCATCTGGAAGAAAGACGGGGTTCCTCTGTCGAGCGGAATCAGCGACTACAACCGCCGGCTGACCATCCCCAGCCCCACGGGCAGCGACACCGGCTACTACGAGTGCGAGGTGGTCCTGCGCAGCAGCAGCGTGCCCGCCGCCGTCCGCGGGGCCTACTTGTCTGTGCTGGGTGAGATGGGGCGGGGCTGCTGGGGACACCCCCTCCCAGGGGTAGGGGCTGTAGGGCTGGGTGGGGCCTTCTTAGGGGTGACCCGAGCGGTGGCTGTATCAAAAGGAGCATGGCTCTGAGCCCCTCCCCTGGTCTTTCCTCCGGCAGAACCACCTCAGTTTGTCAAGGAGCCGGAGAGACACATCACAGCGGAGATGGAGAAAGTGGTGGACATTCCCTGCCGGGCCAAAGGTAACACAGTGGCAGGGTCCAAGGGGAACAAGGACCCCCAACCCCCAACCCCCAACCCCGGACCTCCAGCCCTTCCTGTTTCCGTCACAAACTTTTCTAAATTCCACTTCCTTCTCCAGGCAACGTGACTGAGCAGGGAGTCAATCTGGCAGTGAGCAGAGACCCCAGGAAACAGGCCAAATTACCACACTCTCAGGACTAGAAATCAACCCACGTTACCATAACTTGAGGGCTACAAATGAATCCAAATTACCATAATTTCAGGATAGGCGACAGACTGAAATTGCCCATAATTCGGGAGTTGTAGACAAAGCCAAATTACCGTAATGTCAGAACCACTAGAACTTGGGGACATCTTGCCTGAGATGGGTCTCATGAGTTCCACCTGGTTTCTGGGCCATTTTGCTCCATTTCCTCCCCTACTCTCTCCTACTTAAAACACCCTTTGTCTGAGGTCCTGAAGAATTTCCCCTTCCCCCCCCCCATTCTCCATCTTTCTGGCCCAACTGAGCTACAGGACAGCCTGAAACCGGGGTGAAGTCTGGCGTGGTCAGATGGGAGGTAGAGAGCGTGCACCACGGCCCGGGGTCCGATGGTGAGCAAAGAGGCAGGACGTGGCTTAGGCAGGATGAGAGTCTCCGTGGAAGGCGTGGGTGAGGACTCCCCCTCTGAGACCGCACCAGGGGAAGGCAAAGCTCCATTCGTTCACCCGACACACAGTTTTTGGAGGCTTTACCAATGTGCCGGTACTGCTCTCGGGCTGGGGAGGTGCAAACAGAACCAAACAGCCAAATCCTTGCTGTTACGAAACTTATACTCTTAAGAGGAAGGCAGACGAACTGACAAGTGAAGATACCTTATTTCATTTCACTGAAAATGCCATGGGTGGTGAGATGCCCCATGATTTTATGTGCCACTAAGAAAGAAAAAAGACTGTCAATGAAATTATGACATGCTTTCGATAGTAAGACACATCCTGATTGCAGAAATGTTGCAACGTGGAAGAGTGTACCCCCTGAAACAGTGAAATACAGCATCCTGGGATGTCAGCGTGGAGAAGGGCTGGGGAGGAGGAGGGGGAAGCAACCGGGCTTCGGGGGCTTGGAGCGCTGGGGTGCTCTTTTGAATGGAGTGCGGGAGCTGCTCTGGGGAAGTTGCCTTTGAGCAGAGACCTGGGGAGAGAGAGCGGGGAGGTTGGGGGTACCTGTGGGACAACCATGCCAGGCCAAGGGTGTGTGACTTGGGCAAAGCTGAGAGATGGGAGCCCCTGTTCACCTCCCTCTGCAGACCAGGTAGGAGGGGGCTCCGAGGGCCGCCCAGGATCCCTAGCCCCCTCCACATGCTCCTTGACATGGGGGATTCTGCGGTCACTGGGTCTGGGAAACCAAGCCCTGGTTGGAGGTTTCTAGGATACACCACAAACTCTGCTAAATTAAATGGCAGTTAAAAAAAATTAATTTGTCTAATCTAGCATTTCCAAGCTAAACTCATCCAGCTAAATGTTCTTGGAACCCCTGCTATTAAAAAGAACTTGAGAAATGCCATGCCAAGAGCATTTTCCACCTCTTCCAAGACCATTAAGTAGCACCTCTGAGAAGATTCTAGAAACCAAGACACACAGGGATTCCCCGCCCCCTTCCCCTCACCCTGGCCACCGATTTCTAGGCTCAGAGGTGGGCGGGAGGGAGCCAGGAGGTAGGCTGACAGTGGGCCCACGTCTGCCCCCCCAGGCGTACCACCACCCTCCATCACCTGGTACAAGGACGCGGCCGTGGTGGAGGTAGATAGGCTGAGCCGCTTCCGGCAGCGTGGCGACGGGGGACTGCAGATCAGCGGGCTGGTGCCCGACGACACGGGCATGTTCCAGTGCTTTGCCCGCAACGCAGCCGGCGAGGTGCAGACCTCCACCTACCTTGCTGTCACCAGTAAGTTGGTCCTGCCCCTGCCCCTGCCCTGCATCCGTCCCACCCAGGACCCCGCTTTCCTCCAAGCCAGCAGCCTCTTGAGAAGAGATGCTGCATCGTACAGGGAGAGGATGTCCCAAAGACCGTCCCCCAGCAGCCAGGGTGGCTGCCGCCAGCTACGCCCCTGGCTTTCACAGCCCAGGTCTGGTGCTCCAGACCCCTGAGCCAAGGACGACTTCGCTGGCTCTTTGAGAGAAGCAGCCGTGAAACCACAGTCCCCGCTCTGGCATCCGGGCAGCCCCTGGCTTCCCGGCTCTGGCATCTCAGCGGTCGCTGGCTTCCCAGGCAGGGCTGAAGCCGCCCCGTCCCAGTGGGGAAGACTTGCTTACTTCTCCAGGGGGGAGCCCAAGCTTGAATTCCAGCCCCCACTTCAGACCTTCTGCCCTCTCTGGGTCTCTCTGGGTGGTTACGAGAGCTCTCCTGCTCTCTTCGTGGAGTTGCGTGAACGCGATCTGCTCTGTGAGCGGTTCACACCATAGACGGCCGAGCTCGGTGTGCGTGCAGAGTGGCGCTGGGTTCTTTGTCTCAGCAGCCGAAGGACATATGATTGTGAGCCTCCTTGAGTCCGTCCTGGCTCATCACCCAGACCCACAGAGGTCCCCAAACAGGGCAACTGCGGGGCAGAGGGCGAGAGGGCAGAAGGGCTGCTGTCTTGCTTCCTGCCTCTGATGGGAGCCAATGAAGCTGGGGCTGGTCCCTCCCTGAGCTCTGCCCCATGCACATCTGACCGGACGGTTCCCTGAGGGCCAGGCTAGGGAAGGCAAGCCCAAAGCCAGAAGATTGCACTTAGCATTGAAGAACCATGGCTCAGCCAAGCCGCGGACTCTCCAGGGCCAAGCCTTGTGAAAAGTGGGTCATGTTCTTCTGTTGGCCGTAACCACTTTTTCTTTTAAGAAACCAGAGCCTCCATGTCCTATTCGATGAAGGACACATCCCATTTTTCTTGGAATGGAGGGTGGGAGCTGCCCTCGGGGGTCCTCAGTTTCCCCAAATGGAGGCCTAAGAATCCAGGCTGGGGCAGTAGTGTAGCCTGGGTCCGTCCACAGGGCAGGTGGTACAGGGAGCCCTCACGGGCCTTCTGGGCTTTTTCCCAGTGCCGGGGCCCCATCAGGACATCCACATCCTTCTCTGTGGGGGCACCCACAGCAGCCAGAGTGGCAGGGGCGGGACGAGGACCTGTTCCTCTGGCTGTGGGGCCTCCTCCAGGGTGTAGCTAAGAGGCTTCTGTCTCCTTCTGCAGGCATCGCCCCCAACATCACCAGGGGCCCCTTGGACAGCACAGTGATCGATGGCATGTCGGTGGTGCTGGCTTGCGAGACTTCGGGGGCACCCCGGCCAGCCATCACTTGGCAGAAAGGTAGATGGGACTGATCTCCTTTGGACATTGTGGCCCTGTGACCCTCTAGGGTAGTCTTCAGAGCTCCATTCTGGAGCCAGCCAGGTTGGGTTCCCTTTGTCCAGTTGTGAAGGTCGTGCACTGCACAACCAGGAGGGCATCCATCTCTCACACCACAGGATGAACCTCATGCCACCTTGCTGGGCTCAAGGGCCAGCTCTGCATCTTCTGACACTGGTGACCTGGGGTGAATTATTTACTCACTCCAAGCCTCAGGGCCCCCATCTGTAAACTGAGGACCATAGTACACATAACCTGGGCTGGCATGAGGATGGAACAAGGGCAGCGGTGAAGCCCAGTGAATGACAGTGGCTTGATGATCATATTGTGGTGGTGGCTGTGAATGCCGGTGGGCGCTGTCCCTCCTGCAGGTGGCACAGAGGGCTCCGGACCCCTGCACCAGCCCAGCTGAAATGGTCCTGCTCCATGTGCCTCCTCCACCCCTGTTTCAAAAACTCGCCTTCCAGGCTCTCCCCGTGTACACACACGCATGCACACACGCAGTCACTCCCTCCCACCTCCAAGTCTGCTACAGCGAAGCTTCTCCCCAAGACTCACCTGCCCCCAACCCCCCGGTCCCCTCATGACCCTCCCCCACCGCCGCTTTATTTTTCCACCTCCTAATATACAAGATAAACTGCCTATCCCAGCCACTTATTGCCTGATGCCCCGCAGAGTCAGGGCTTTCAGCTTTGTCTGCTGCCATCTCCCCAGGGCCTGGGACAGAGTCAGGCACATGGTCATTGCTCGATAAGTGCTTGTGGAATGAGCGTAAGTACGGCCAGGTACACGTATGGACACGAGCACCCTCTCCTGCCACACTCACTAGTTTGCTATTCCTGGCCATGTGTGCAGAGAGACACACCCGTAGCCTTGCACGTGGAGATGCCCCTCTGTACAGACTGGGTGGCTCAGTCGGTTAAGCACCTGCCTTCGGCTCAGGTCGTGATCTCAGGGTCCTGGGATCGAGCCCCATGTCTGGCTCTCTGCTCAGCAGGGGGCCTGCTTCTTCTCCCTCTGTGCTCTTTCCTCTGCCACCTTTCTCAACTAAATAAATTTTTTTTTTAATAAGAATACAATAGATACAATAACCCGAACTTGCACTCCCGGGCTCCTGCACAGGGCAGACCTCATACCCCTCCCCCAGGCAACAGGCCTCCCCAGGTCCCACCGCGGAGGGAGGGCTGCCCCCGTCCCCATCCCCGTTCCCATCCACCTTGCCTCTGCTCCTGGCTGCTCCCACCCATCACGTTCTTCCGCTCTCCTGAAGGTGACTCTCGAGAAGCATCCTGCGGCGGGATGCCCGTCACCACCTTGTCAGAGCTGTCTGCCCCCTCCCCCCAGCCCGGATGCCAGCTGTCTCCGAGAGCTGTGCCTGGCTGCATCAGGAGACAGTCCCTGGCCTTCTCTGGTGAAGGGCAGACAGCCTGGTGGGTGGAGAGACAAGAGGAGACCCGGGCTCTGTGACCGAGTGCCCTTGTGCCCGTCACCGTGTCAGAAACCCACCCAGACCTCAGCGCCCATCCCGGCCAGGCCCTCCCAGCATTTCTAAAGCCGGGGTTGGCCTGAGAGCACCTGCCCAGAGCCCCCAGGGAGCAGGAGCTGGGAGGTCTCAGAGCAGGGGAGGGGCTGCGCACTCTGAGCCCGCCCCCGTGTCGCCCTCAGGGGAGCGTATCCTGGCCAGCGGCTCGGTCCAGCTGCCACGCTTCACGCTGCTGGAGTCGGGCAGTCTGCTCGTCAGCCCCACGCACATCTCCGATGCCGGGACCTACACCTGCTTGGCCACCAACTCTCGGGGGGTCGACGAAGCCTCAGCTGACCTGGTTGTGTGGGGTGAGTGTGCAGACTGGGGACACCTGACACGTCCACGCGTGGGTGCGTGTGTGCCGAGCACGGGCTCTCGCCGCCAGCGCCCCTCATCCCCACGGCTGCCTCCCCAGCCCCTCATCTGAGAAGGGCAGGGACAGATGAATCCAGAGGAGAGGGACCAGGAAGGCCAGGGCTCTGCAGATGATGCCACACGAAGGGCCAGAGAGTCCCTCTTTCTGACTTTGTGGGCTAGACAGCCTCGGTCCCAGCCCCTCGGCTGACTTGTCTCTTTCATCAAAAGCCGCTGCCGCTGGCCGTGGCCGTGTTCCATTGCAAGAATATTTACCCAGACAGGTCACCAGCCAGACCTGACCGTGGACGCTCGGGTGCTGGGCCCAGCTTTCGGGAAGCTTCTCACGCCCCTTGCATCGTTAGATTGTACCGCCTGGGATCCCCACCCAGGATCCGCACCGTGGGCCCCCCAGGGAGGCCGAGCACCGGTAGGCTGGCTCGCGAGGCCGCAGACCGGGAGTCAGAGGATCCTGTTGTTACCCAGGCTGGACCGCTCATGTGCCGATTGTCTCCGATTTCCATTCCTTCATCCCTCCCAAGGGTTTCTGGGGGAAGATTCAGTGAGATCCCACTCAGAATGTGGCTTCCAAGAATGCAAGGGCCATGGAGCCGCGTTGTCCTCATTAGCATTCTGAGTCACCCACCACGGTAGAGGCGTCCACATGCTGGGTCTGCCTTCACCTGCCCGTGGCATTCAGCCACACGGGCCCGGGTCACCTGAAGATGCCTTCCCCACACACCTGCCTCTCACCTGTTCCTCTGCGTCTGCTCCCCTTCTCACCACCCTGTGTCCCTGCCGTCTTTCAGCCCGGACCCGCATCACCAAGCCTCCCCAGGACCAGAGTGTCATCAAGGGAACCCAGGCCTCCATGGTGTGCGGAGTGACCCATGACCCCCGGGTGACCGTCAGGTACTCCCTCTGCTGTGGCCCCAGGAAGCGTTTAGAGGGGAGGGCGGCTTCAGGGATAGCTGTCGACACCAAGGAGGTTAAGTGTGACTGTGGGGCCAAACCGTGCCTTGGGGGGACCACCTGCAGAGCTAGGGCAGGGCTGAGCTAGCTTGAACTGAACTGGGCCATGTTTGGGGGGGGCGGGGTAGTGATACAGAAGAGTGGAGGAGGGAGGGATGCAGGAGGGAGGGGCGCGAAGGAAGAGCCATTGTGTTTGCTGACACATGGAGACTCTGAGGTGTTCTTGCCATGACACAGGACCTCACTCTACCCCAATCTTTGACCCAGATCTTAGGTCCTCTGCCCCCCCCAAGTGGACATCAGCTGGGTCTGGGTAAACAGGCGTGGGAGCAGAGATAGGCCAGGGCAGAACACACATGTGAGAGGAAAGTGCCCCAAAATGCGGCCACCCCACCACCCACCCTGGGAGCTGGGACCTTGGTGAGCTACTTGGCTTGAAGGCAACAGGTCCCCCCAGGGAAGCCACTGGAGATGGGACAGCAGCAGGCAAGATGCGTGTAAAAGCCAGAATCCCTCCTGAGCCCGGGCTGCAGACACCTGGGCCAACCCCAGGAAGTTCTTCGGGAACTAAGACCGGGAGAAAGTGGTCCCTTCCGGGCTCTCCCTTGAAGTCCGGGATGCTGAGTAAAATTAACTACTTTCTTAGAAACAAATATCCCCTCCATGTTGCTTCTGTGTCTTATGGCCAATATCACTGCCAAAGCAACTGGCTGGAAGGGGCCGGCTGGTGCCACCTGGGAGGCTTGGCCCCCACCGCTCTGGAGGCAGCTGCATCCTGGGGCGCCATCTGGTGGCCATTGGGCATATAACAGTCTATACGACCACACCAAATGGGCCCCCCGGAAGCCAAGGTTGGCATAAAGAACACTAGACTTTTATGCTAAACGAAATAAGTCAATCAGAGAAAGACAATCATCATATGATCTCTCTGATATGAGGAATTTGAGAGGCAGGGCGGGGGGTGGGGGGGAGTTGGGAGGGAAAAATGAAACAAGATGGGACCAGAGAGGGAGACAAACCATAGGAGACTTAATCTCAGGAAATGAACTGAGGGTTGCTGAAGGGGGGCATGGGTAGGGATGGGGTGTCTGGGTGATGGACACTGGGGAGGGTATGTGCTATGGCGAGTGCTGTGAATTGTGTAAGACTGATGATTCACAGACTTGTACCCCTGAAGCAAATAATACATTCTATGTTAACTTAAAAAAAAAAATACTAGACTTAGACCCACACCCATTCTTTGAGAATCCATTGCGGGCCCCCAGTTTGCAAGCAGGGGCCTTAACATAGATGTCATTAAAATACTGTCAATGCAAGAAACAAAATATGCTTGTAACTGGGATTAGTAAATTTTGTAAAATTATAAAAAAATAACGAATCCCAGTATAAATAGAAAAAATAAAAAACAAAAAAAAAAAAAAAAAAAAAAAAAAAAATATATATATATATATATATATATACATACACACACACACACACACACATATATGTATCTTAACTATAAAAATGTTCTCCAGGAGAACTCTGCACATCCCCCTACCACCAGAGAATATTGCTGTGTATCTCAGGCCCACACCTAAGTGGTAGCTCTAATTTTAGCCCCTATTAATTGAAAACCTTATAATAATAAAGGTTTTATTAATAATTTTTTATATTTATTTATTTATATAGTTTATAGTTATTTGCATATTTTATATATAATTATATATAAATTCAACAACGCTTGAAATTGGGGTTTTATTTATTAAAATAGCATCCAGCTAGCATTTGGAAAATAGTTGCATATTTTAGTCATTGTCTAGACAGTTCCTAATGGGCAAAGGGATTCGGGGACCCCTTGCAATACAGCTCCAGCCCACCTCCCAAGGACCCTTAGGGACCCACAAATAGGAAAACCATATTCCAGTTCACTGGGGACTCCTGGCCTTAGAATGGAACTCCCCATCTAGGGCAATCTCCTCGATGGGGAGAGAACACAGAATTGGTCCCGCAGGCCCCAAAATTGTCAGTCTGTGGCCAGACCCACCCCTCTATCTCCCACCCATTCCTTGGACTTGAAAACCCTGTTGGAGATTTAGGGAACACACGGGAGTTCCCTGACCAGACAAGCTAAAAGGACCCAACAAGCAACCCAGTCAAATTACAGTGATGGCCACTTAATTCTGTGTTCTGTGCCCTCCTCAAGATCAAGCCAGAGTCCAGGGGTCACAGCCCAAGCAGGTGCAGGTTGCCTGCTCAGACAGCTTCCAGAACGACCTTAGGAGAAACTCTTCTGTTAGGTATCTGAGCCGAGATCGAAACCCAGTCTGAGCAATCCACTTGTGGCCACTGATAATACTAATCAATATTTCCATTGGCTTTTTTTAATTATACAGCTAATAGATACCCTTTATAGGAGGGAAATATAGAAAATGCAGATAAGCCGCCAAAAATGGAGAGGGAGGGATAAAGAAGAGAAGTAGGTTTATCTGTTTCTCTCAATTTTAATAATATTAATATAGTAATATAATAATAATACAATGGTGATAATATTAGAGTGTCATCTATAAAAAACCTAGAGACACACTCTGTCTGCTTTTTCCCCTAAGAACCCATTGTGAATCTCTTCCCTTGTCCATAAATATTCTTGTATAGACCTCATTATGTGATTATTCACTCGTCCTTTGTGTGGATGTAACATAATTTTTGTTACCAGTTCCCCAATGCTGAATATTTGGCTGGTTTCTCAGTTTTTTGCTACTATTAAGAAACATCACAGGGCATGGCTCAGTTGGGCATCTGACTCAATCTCAACTCAGGTCTTGATCTCAAGGTCGTGGGTTTGAGCCCCATGTTGGGCTCCATGCTGAGTGTGGAGCCTACTTTAAAAGAAAAAAGAAACATTATGATGAATGTCCTTGTAACTAAATATTTTTGCCCTTCTTTGATTTCCTGAGGACTATCTAATATTATTTAAAGCTGAAAGTCCTGAAAATTGCTCATCAAAATTGTTTAATAGCCAGCTATATAATTACAGATGATTTTGGAAATTTTCTACCCTGAATTAAATGGACTCATGAGTTGTCGTTTTGTTTTTTTTGTTTTTTTTTTTAACTTTCTACTGTAGGAAATTTCAAATATAGCCCAGAGTAGAGACACCCAGATCATCAGACCTTGCGTGCCCAGCTTTTTTTTTTTATTTAAACTCAATTAATTAACATAGAGTGCATTATTAGTTTCAGAGGTAGAGTTCAGTGATTCATCCATCTTATATAACATCACGTGCCCTTCTTAATGTCCATCACCCAGTTACCCCATCCCTCCCACGCCCCTCCCCTCCAGCAACCCTCAGTTTGTTTCCTATGATTAAGAGTCTCTTATGGTTTGTCTCCCTCTGATGTTGTCTTGTTCTAGTTTTCCTTCCCTTCCCCTATGATTCTGTTTGGTTTCTTAAGTTCTATATATGAGTGAAATCATATGATAATTTTATTTCTCTGACCGACTTACTTCACTTAGCATAATACTCTCTAGTTCATCCACATTGTTCGTTGCAAATGGCAAGATTTCGTTTTTGATGGCTGCATAGTATTCCACTGTATATGTTGGTCTTCCTTATCTATTCATCTGTCGATGGACATCTGGGTTCTTTCCACAGTTTGGCTGTTGTGGACGTTGCTGCTACAAATACTGGGGTGCAGGTGCCCCTTTGGATCCCTACATTTATTTGTATTTTTTGGTTACATACCCATCTCTTGGCCTCAGTGATTATCGACATTTGGCTCACCTGTCTCCTATCCATCCACACTTTTTTTTTACTGCAATATTTTAAAAGCAAATCTCAAGCGTGTCATTTCACCTTGAAATATGTCAATGTGCATTTCTTACTTAAAAGGAATTTTCTTGAAACATAACATCCATGTCCCTGTCACACGGAACACAATGAACCATCCCTTGATGTCTGTAATACCATATTACAACGTCCCTGATTATCTGAGAGGTGTCTTTTTTTTTTTTAAGAGAATTTTTTTTTAAGATTTTTTTTTTAGTCAGAGAGAGACAGAGTACAAGTCAAGCAGGCAGAGTGGCCGGCAGAGGCAGAGAGAGAAGCGGGCTCCCTGCTGAGCAAGGATTCCCAATGCGGGACTCGATTCTAGGACCCTGGGATCATGACCTGAGCTGAAGGCGGTGGCTTAACCGACCGAGCCACCCAGGCTTCCCTGAGAGGTGTCCTTTTAAAAGTTGGTTGGTTTAACTCAGGGCTGAAACAAGGTCCACACGTGGCATTTTGTTGGTGTGTCTCCTTCATTCTACACAGTCCCCTCCCCCTCCTTTTAATGTTTGGGTTCATGACTGCTTTGTCTACCTGCAGTTAATTAGTTGCAGAAACCAGGTTCTACAGGACAGTGGTCCAGCTAACTTTTTTTTATAAAGGGACAGAGAGTAAATATTTAGGCTTTGAGGACTAGAGAGTTTTTGTCACAGCTCTCCAAGTCTTGTTTGTACAAACAAGGTGCAAACAAATGAACATGTCTCTGTTTCAGTAAAACTTTATTTACACAAACAGGCAGGGGGCCACAGTTTGCTGACCCCTGCTTTGGCCAGCTGTTCTTTCGTGATGCAGTACACCTGTTCTTCTACCCCTTGTATTTCTAGTTAGACTCAAGTAAATGGCTGATTAGATTCGGGCTTAGTTGTTTGGGCGCAAACACTCCACAGGTGGTGATACTCCCTTCCTAAGACACCACGTCCTGGGGCCAAGAACGTCTGTTTACCATAGGCTGTTTCTTAAGCAGGAATTACTCCCCGCCCCCTAGATTTCCTTTTAAGTAAAATTCTACACGTGCCATCAGCGCTGTCAAGGATGATTCTTTTCTAGCTATGGAGATGAAGGCGAATACGTCTGACACTTTGTAAATGTATATAAAAAGCCTTAAAATTTAACTCTGCAATTTCACTGCTGAGAACTTATCCCGGAGGAAATGATTTAGAAGGTATGGAAATCTGCTGCAAGGATGTTCCTCACAGCATTAACTATAACGTGAGAGAACAAGGAGCCCTTCCCAGAAGGGCGGGAACAATTGCAGAGCAGCTGTGTGGGTCCTACTGAGCAGCCGCGTGGGTCCTACTGAGCAACCAGTACAAACCGGTACAAACCAGAACAAACCAGGGCCTGAAGGGGTCACATTGCAAAAAAGAGTCTGGGATACTTTGTTGCTACCCGTTATTTACCAGCTTGTGCTCTGAGAGTCGAAATCCATGGCTATCTTCTGTGGCTCCCTTACTACCGGGGAAGCCTTTTCTTTGAACTTACACTATCCTTATAGCAACCCTAGAAGGTGGGTGGTATTATTTTTCCTCGTAGGACAAATGAGGAAACAAAGGCACAGGGAGGCTGTAAACACACGATCACGAAGCTGGTAAGTGGCCAAGGCAGCATCTGACCGAATCTGAATTCGGACGGAGCACAACAGCACTGTGGCGCCAGGCCCCCTCGGGGCAGGGGAGAAAAGTCTGAAATGGCGATGTTCCGCTGTTACTCATGGTTCCCCGTGATGGGAAAGCTTTTCAGTTTTCTTGCCCTGAATTTTTTTTTTAATTTTTTTTATTTGTAATTGCAATTTGTAATTTGTAAATTATTTTTTATTAGCAATTGCGATTTTCTGATTTTTTTTAACTTAAAAATATTATAGGCTCATTCTCCCCAGCAGTTTTAGATTCCCTGATACTGATAGCTGTCACACCTCGTGGCTCAGGCCACAGAGTCCCCGGCTGAGCGAGTGACGGGTCATGTGCAAAACTGCCCAGCCCCCCTCCTGGCTCCCTGTCCTGGCTCCCGGCACCCTGGCCAGCCTTGCCCCAGGAGGGCATCAGCATGACGTGCTCCCCAGAACTGGCACCCCACGTTACGCGGATGACAGTAATAGTTGTATTTTCTCCAGGATCATTCCAGGGGAGATATTTCTTATTGTCAGGCACGGGCATGTGTGTAATTTCTCAAGTCCCCCTTTGTACTGACTGACCGAAGCTAAAGTGATTTTTTGGAAACTAAAGTCAATTTGTCACGGTGATGCATTGATCTAATGATTCCCCTCATAAAACTAATTCCAAGATGTAGTCTGGGCGGAAACTTTCATTCTTCTTCCAGCTGTACTCTTTTAACCTCTTCGGAAGATTACCTTTTGCCAGCTCTTTCCTGCTGGCTGCTTGGTGGTGACTTCTGGCCAAAAGCAACACGGCTCTGACCTAGACCTGAACGGGAGGTATAATGGCTTCGTGCGCTAAGCCTCCTGGACAGAGCACCCTGCGACAGGGACAGAGGGCTGCAGGCTGTGCGGGTGCCCCCCCCCTCGTGCTCCCACCAGGGACCAGCCCCAGGGGGCCTGTGTCTCCTGGGGAGTGCCCTGCCGCCTTTGGGGCCCTGCTCCAGACCAGCCCCAGGCTGAGCCCCGGCAGGGCACCCTACTTCCCGACCTCTCTTTTCTGACCACTGCTCCTTCCCCTCAGGTACGTCTGGGAGAAGGACGGGGCCGCCCTGGGCACGGAGAGCAGCCCCCGCATCCGTCTCGACAAAAACGGCTCCCTGCACATCTCGCAGACGTGGTCGGGGGACATCGGCACGTACACCTGCCGGGTGCTGTCCGCGGGAGGCAATGACTCTCGCAGTGCCCACCTGCGTGTCCGGTAAGGGCGCTCCGCCCCCAGCATAGGGGGTACAGGCCACAACAGGAGGCTTATGTTGGCGGATGCCCAGGCCATGTGGGACCTGGGTCCGCTGTCCTCTGGGGACATACCAGGCCTCCTCCAAGGCCTTCCCCCAGCTCAGTTCAGCTCTCGGCAAAGGGCGGGGGACTCTGGATACGGCTTGGGACGGGGCGGGGGGCGGGGGGAAGGGGGGGCGGTCCCCAGAGCCTCCAGTCCAAAGGCGGAGCCATATGGCTACGCACAGGCAGTTGTGATGTTCAGTCTGAACCCCAGGCACCTGTGTGTCCCCTGACTCCAGGCTTCACAGGTGACCCCACCATATCTCTCCTCCAGGCAGCTGCCTCACGCCCCCGAGCACCCTGTGGCGACCCTCAGCACCACAGAGAGACGGGCCATCAACCTGACGTGGGCCAAGCCCTTCGACGGCAACAGCCCCCTGCTCCGCTACATCCTGGAGATGTCGGAGAACAGTAAGCTTCCCCGCCCCAGCCAGCGGGGAGCAGGGACTCGGGGAGTCAGCCTGGGGCCTGGCTCCAGCTCCCCTGCTTCCCAGTTCCTTGCCTTTGAGCAGGCCTTCTGGAAGCTACAGCTTCCCTGCAAAATGAGCATTGGCCCGTGCCTCCCCCGGTCATTGTGACAGTGGCATAACATCACGGTGGGGGGAGGGGACACGCAGGGCCTGCCACTCCAGAGCCTCCCAGGCAGTGGCGATTTTTTGCTTTTTATCCTCCAAGACCCCAAGCTGTGAACTCCAAAATTAGCAGGCCTCATTTGAATGATGTTTTAAATACAATTTGCCTGGAGCTCATCAGTTGGGGGGTGGGGGTAGCTAGAAAAGGCAGGTGCATCTCCGTTCCTGTGACCCCTTGCTTCCTCCCCAGGGCATTCCAGCCTCCCAGGACAGGTGGGCTAAGGGGACCCAGAAAAATGACGTGACCAGCCTCTAGTGGACCAAGTCCAGGAGGCTGTCCTCTGCTAGAATGGGGTAGGGAGCAGGGCCTCCCGGGATGTCCCCCTCCGCCTGCACCCTCTGTCCTCGTAGATGCCCCCTGGACGGTGCTCCTGGCCAGTGTGGACCCCGAGGCTACCTCGGTGATGGTCAAGGGCCTGGTGCCGGCACGCTCCTACCAGTTCCGCCTTTGTGCAGTCAACGACGTGGGGAAGGGACAGTTCAGCAAGGACACGGAGAGGTGAGGGGGGCCAGTGTTCTTCCAGAGGGGCTCTGGGTGACTCCGTCAAAGGGAGGGTCTGAGGGGACCTACAGCTGAGTCCCATGTGGCATCGTGGGGCCTAGCTGAGCGCAGACCCAGGCCACCGCCTTCCCGGCCCTGGGGGCTTCGGCGTCTGCCTCTGTAGAATGGGGCAGCATGACTCACGCCTGCCTCACAGGGACGCCACAAGGAGAACGGGAGGCGACACGGGAGGCACTGTAAGCGGTGCCTGGTGTGGGATGAGCCCCCACCGGAGTTAACGGTCCCCTCACGGGGAGCTGGCCAAGTTCAAAGACTTACCTGATTTCCACTGTAGCTCCTCACAGACGCCATCACTGTCACGTGGCCATGAGGTATACGGGGCCGTGGATCCACACGGGTCTCTGTGTCCAGTGACTTGCACAATGCTAGGTCCTAGTAAGCTTTCAGCAAAGATTCTGCAAAGTGATGAAAATGAAGTGAAAACAGAGGCTCATCCACTTTCAAGCATCATCCGGGAAGACCCACTTATGTAGGAGGCCATTCTGACCGCCTCAGCCCCATAGGATGGAAGGGCAGAGTGACAGCGACACAAATCCCACGCCCCCAAGCTGTGTGCTCCTCTTCCCTCTTCCAGGTTTCTTTTTAATTCTTCCAGATTTATTGAGGTACCGTCAACACAGAACATGGTGGAGTGTAAGGTGGACAGGTGCTGATTTACACAGTGCAACAGAATTACCACGTGGTGTTGGCTAACCCCTCTATCCCATTGCAAAATCACCATTTCTTTGTGGTGGCGAGAACATTTAAGATCAATTTTCTGAGCAACGTTTAAGTATATGATACAGTATTTTTAGCTACAATCACCGTGCTCTCCTTCAGATCCCCAGAACTTACTAATCTTATCACTGGAAGTTTGTGCCCTCAACCAGTGTCTCCCGGTAGCCCCCACCCACCCGCCCTTCATAACTACCACTTTCCACTCTGGCTAAGTTCAGCTTTTTTAGATTCCACATGAGTGAGATCATACAGTACTTGTCTTTCTCCGTCTGACTTTATCTCACTTAGCATCGTGCCCTCAGGGTCCATCCATGTTGTTGCAAATGGCAGGATTTCCTCCTTCTCCTGGCTAAATACTATGCCGCTGTATACATACACCAGATCTTCCTGATCCACTCGTCGTGGACAGAGGCATGGGGTGCTTCCGTGTCTTGGCTGCTGTGGCTAATGCTGCAGTGAACATGGCGGTGCAGGTGTCCCTTCAAGATCCTATTTTCATTTCCTTTGGATGGACAGATACCCAGAAGTGGGACAGCTGGATCATTCGGTAGTTCTTTCATTTTTTGTGGGACCGCCATCCTGTTTTCCACAGTGGCAACACCAGTTTGCATCTCCACCCCCCAGTGCCTGAGGATTCCTTTTCTCCATGTCCTCACCAACACCTGTTATCTCTTGTCTTTTTGATGATGGCCATTCGGACAGGTGGGAGGTGATATCTCATTGTGGTTTTCTTTTTTTTTTTTTTTTTAGATTTTTATTTTTATTTATTTGACAGACAGAGATCACAAATAGGCAGAGAGGCAGGCAGAGAGAGAGGAGGAGGCAGGCTCCCTGCTGAGCAGAGAGCCCGATGCGGGGAGCGATCCCAGGACCTTGGGACCACGACCCGAGCTGAAGGCAGAGGCTTTAACCCACTGAGCCGCCCAGGCGCCCCTCATTGTGGTTTTCATGCGTGTTTCCCTGATGTTGAGGGACGCCAAGCAACTTTTCACGTACCTGTTGGTCATCTGTGGGTCTTCGTGGGAAAAATGCCGATGCAGATCTTCTGCCCATTTTGAATTGGGTTGTTTTCCTTTTTTATGCTCTTGGGTTGTATGTGTTCTTTATGTGTTTTGCATATTAACCCCTTATCAGACGTGGGGCTTGCAGATGTCCTCCCCCATTCAGTGTGTGGGCTTTCAATTTGGGGAGTGTTTCTTTTGTTGGGCAGGAGGTTTTCAGTTTGCTAAGGTCCCACTTAACTTACTTTTTGCTTTTCTTGCTTGTGCTTTTGGTGTCCTATCCAGAAATCACTGCCCGGACCAATGTCAAAGAGCCTTTCCCCATGTTTTCTTCTAGGAGTTTTATGGTTTAGGGTCCTACCATTAAATCTAATCCATTTTGAGTTCACTTTTGTGAGTGGTGTAAGATGGGGGTCCAGTTTCATTCTTCTGCACGTGGCTGTCCAGTTTTCCCCACACCATGAATTGAAGAGACTATCCTTTCCCCACTGAGAAGAATTACTATTGTTAAAATGTCAGTGTTACCCAATGCCATGTGTAAATCCAATGCAATTGCCATCAAAATTCCAGTGGCATCTTTCCTGAATTAGAAAAAAAAAAATCCTAAAATGTGTACAGAGCCACAAAAGACCTTGAGTAGCCAAGGCAATCCTGAGAACAGAGCTGGAGGCATCCCATTTCCTGATTTCACACTATCCTCGAAAGCTGTAGTAATCAAAACAGCATGATCCTGGCATAAAAATAGACACTTAGACCAATGGAACAGAATAGAGAGCCCAGAAATAAACACTCACATATATCGTCAACTGATATTTTTACAAAGGAACCAAGAATGTACTTGGCTGTTGAAAAGACTCTCTTAGGTGTGTATGTACGTGAACATCTGGCTTAAATCGATCACTTGGTTCTGCCACAGTTTCAGTGAGCTTGAGTCTTTGTGGCTCTCACGAGGGGGATGCCACAGGGGTCGTGACACCCTAACAGGAAAGCGAGGGGGCAGGTAACAGCCTGGCAGGGAGGATTTATTCCCTCGCTGTTTGTTGAACACCTACTATGTGCCCGGCTGTGTGTAGACCATGAGGGCTGCGGGGAGCAAAGTGGATGCGGCCCCAGCCCTTCAGAACTATAAAATCCCGACGACACAAAGCCTCAAGTGTCGGGAAAACCACCCTCCACTTTCTCTGGGTCTTCAGGCTTCACTTCAAGCCCTGATTCATCTTCCTGATGAATCTTCACACTAATAGCCCTGAGTCACGAAGAAAAAGGTTATCACCCTCGCTCGCAGGCTTTACAAAGACATGGGAGTTTGCAGTACGTTTTGGAAAGCTATCCGTCAGAAAGAAAAAAACAAAAATAAACTGAGAGGGAGGGACATCCATCAGAAATAATTAATTTCTGGTTTTAATGGGCGCGTGTCAGTTGGGCGAACGGCACACCGCAGTAGAACACTGTGTCCCCCAGCAGTGCCAGAGAAAGACATGCGGTGATGCTCGCTTCTGGAAATGGGGGATGGGCCCCCACCGCCACCACGTGCCTCCCCAGCTCCACCTGGCCTGCCCTGCCCACAGCTTGGGGCTCAGCTGGGCAGAAAAGGAAGCCTCATCACACAGCACCACCAGCCTACAAGTGTTTAACACTCCTGCTTCTGAAATACTGGAGGACTCAAGACGTCATCAGCCCCCACAGCAGCTTCTCTGACATCCGGGAAACTGAGGCCCATGTCCCTGAGCTGCACAGACACAAACACATCTGGGGCTTTGTGGTGTTTTGAAACGATTCCATACGTGGTGTCCTTGAGCCTCAACTAGTCTTAGAAAGCAGGCAAGTGGAGGTTTATTATACTCCTTTAAGAGGTAAAGGAGCAAGCTCAAAGAGGTTAAGTGACTTGCCCAAAAGCACACAGCAACTGTACAGAGTCATCCAGGAACCGAGCAGCCTCCTCGTATCCTGTTAAACTCCTGTATTTGCCCTCGAGACTAAGGGTGGAAAGACCCACCCACTCTTGATGTTTTCCTATCCAGGGTCTCCCTCCCCGAGGAGCCCCCCACAGCCCCCCCGCAGAATGTCATCGCCAGCGGCCGGACCAATCAGTCCATCATGATCCAGTGGCAGCCGCCTCCCGAGAGCCACCAGAATGGCCTTCTCAAGGGCTATGTCATCAGGTAGGTATCCCCTCTTCCCTGGGGAAAGGAGGGACAGCCCCCACCCAGGGGGAGGGTTTGGAGTGGATGGGAAAACAGCCAAGTCATGACAGGTCCTTCTCTCACAAAGGCCACCACGCGACAAGAAATGACTTTGCCCTGGTAGGAAGGACTCAGGTTAGACGTGTAGAGGAACTACCAGAAGGCAGTGTCTTGGAAAACAATGGGAATGCTTGAGAGAGGAGGTACAGTGTGATGTCCTCAAGGCTGTGTGGATAGGCAGGTCGGCCACACGGCAGGGCTTCACAGGATAGGCACAGGGAGACGGGTAACTCTCCGACGGGCCAACCACCCCGGAAACCAAGAATACTCCATCTGAAGCCACCATACTGAGCCAAGGGCTGGTCAAACGGTAGACCTCCTTTAGCTGGTCCTTACCGCAAAATGAAGCCCAGTTATGGAACCTTTTATGTCTACACTTGACCGAGGGTTTTTCACTGGTAACCTTTAACTGAGTTATTAAGTGCTACTAATTGGGGGTCGTAAATTCAAATTAGCATAAAATTGAAGTTCCTGAGCGTCCATCAGTATTCTGAATTCTGGCAGGCTGCAAAATGCGTTTCTTTCCTGTATGTGTGCGCGCTCCAGCTTTGGCATGCCCCAGATCTGGAGGGCGTTATCGTTGACTTGACCACTCCACGATCCGTTAATTTTGTTGTGGGTTTTCAGTGAACCCTAATGGCGAGTGGTGCTCAAAGGGTGTTCCCTAGACCAACTGCGGCCTCGATTTGACTGCAAACTCTCAAGTCCTACACCTGATCATGGAAAACTTAGAAGTGGGCCCAGCAACCTGGATTTCTGCAAGCCCTCTGGGTATTTCTGGTGCATGATAAGCCACTGAGGACCATTGTTACGGGGTCTTGTAACACATCAAAATAAGCTGGAGCCTCTAATTTTCCAATAACATATGGGTTGTGGTTCTCCTATGATCTAACCATCCCCCCAGACTTTGTCCATACAGACCCACTTCTGTATTATCATGTGTTCTTTTTCCGGTAGAAATTGGTAGAGTAGGTAGCTCAAGTTTGTTCTCTCCACCTAAGTCAGTGACTGTCAAAAGAGGGAGCCACTCCTTTGGAGGGACAAAGAAAGTGAGCCCAGCCTTTGGACGTGGCTCTCCATCGATGACCCCTCCTAGGTGAGACCAGTGTGGTCTGCCCAGAAACTCTTAGCGTCCATGGTCAGCTAATCTCTCCAGTGTCCAACCCCATCAAAAAGAACAGACGCATCCTCTAGACCTGTGCTGTATAGGGAGATAGCCATTGGTCTCCTGTGGTTATTTAATTTAAATACAAGCCACGTTCCCAGCTATACCAACCACATTTCAAGTGCTCAGCAGCCACGCCCAAGAGCGGCTACCATATTGGACGGCCACATTGGACCATCACACGTGGTTTCCTGGGCATGCGCCCAGCAGGCTGTCTCCAGCTAGCCACCCCCTGCCTTCCTCCCTCCCCTTAGGTACTGCCTGGCCGGGCTGCCCGTCGGGTACCAGTTTAAGAACATCACAGATGCTGACGTCAACAATCTGCTCCTGGAGGACCTCATCATCTGGACCAACTACGAGATTGAGGTGGCCGCCTACAACAGCGCCGGGCTGGGTGTCTACAGCAGCAAAGTTGCCGAGTGGACACTGCAGGGAGGTGGGTGGGGATCGTGACCGTGGAGGAGCTGGTGCTTCTCTCTCTCCCTCCCCGGCCCGTGCCTGTCAGTCCTGGACCTGTCCAGTCCCGCCTCGGCCACGGCACCTGTTTCCCCCAGTCCTCAGCTATTGCCCACTGTGCCTGGCTACCCCGTAGGGTGGGAGGGTGCCGAGGGGCAGGGGAGTTGTGGGGGAGCATGATGAAGGCAGAGGCTTCGGGGGTACGGGGACCTTCTTCAGGGTCCACGTCACCTGGATCATGAAACAGCTGGCTTCGAGGGTTGTGCAGAACGACCTTCCCCAAGCACGTTCCCATCCTTCACTTGTGTTTGTCTGTACCCCGTGAGCTGGGTCAGACGAGAGTACTTACACCCAGACTAATGGAGAGAAAGAGGGTGCCGCGAGTCCATAATGCAAAGGGGGAGGGGGCGGGGCAGAGCAGACCCCTGCCTTTGTTATTTCTCTACTTAATGCCCAAGACTGACTCCACCCCCTCTACCATCCCCCGCCCTGTCCCTTTGCTCTCCTCCAGTCCCCACTGTCCCTCCTGGCAACGTGCATGCAGAAGCCACCAACTCCACGACCATCCGCTTCACCTGGAATGCCCCCAGCCCCCAGTTCATCAACGGCATCAACCAGGGCTACAAGGTACGTGAGCCTCCCCGTGGCCCCCGGAGGAAGGCTGGGGATTCTCTGAGGGAGGCCAGGGGCTGAGGAGCCGGGAGGAGGGGAAGTACCCCCTGTGCTTCCGAAATCATTGGTTCAAGCCAAGCAGACGACACATGATCAAGGTGAAGGGGATGCGGGCTTGCTCTCAGGCCCCTTCCAGGCTGTGAGGGGGCCAGGACACCGCCCAGCCTGTGACCCCGTGTGGAGGAGCTTTCTTGGGAAGACTGGGCTATAAGCAAACCACATTTGTCTTAGGCTCAGGAACACCTGGGCATAGCCGCGGCCCCAGAAAAATCCAGAATCCGCTTCTTCCTGCCAAGCTGTGGCTCTCCTAGACCCACACGTGTCCTTGGGCTGCACTTGACCCCACAGAGAGTGTGGTTAAGGGCACAGGACTGGGACCGTGACAGATGCGGGCTAGAATCCAGGCTCTGGCTCTGCCTCTCGCTGGCTCCCTAGACAGGTCCTACAATCTGTCTGAGCCCCGCTCCTTCGTGTTTGTCGAGCCTTCCTATAGGCTCCATTCTAGATGCCGGAAAACCAGAATAACCTCCCCTCCCCTCATGTGTGCGTGAGGACGATACTCATGCCTACTCCTTAGGGGCGCGTGGGGACTGAATGAGACGATATCCGTAACTCATTGGGCTCAGTGACACGCATGGAAGTGCCTTGCAGAGACACGTTTGCCCGAGCTGGGGGCCCTAACCAGGTGCCACCGTCCAGGTGGCTCCAACAACAAAAATCTTTGTCCTCCCACTTGCGGAGGCTGGAAGTCTGAGATCCAGGTCTGGGCAGGGCTGATTCCCTCCGAGGCCACCGTCCTTGGTGCGTAGGTGCCACCTTCTCATGTCCACGCGTGGTCCCTCCTCTGCGTGCATCCCAGCCTCTGCTTGAAAGGACGCCACTCACACTGGACTGCGGCCCCCCCTTACTGACCTCATGTTAATTTCACTGCCTCTTTAAAGACCCTCTGTCCGAATACAGTCCCCTCCTAAGGTCCTGGAGGTTAGGACTTCAACACGTGAGTTTGGGGAGTTGGGGGGACGCAGGTCAGCGTGTGACAACGAGCTTAGCAGTAATGGTAGCAGGTGTCATTCAATCCTGGTATTGGTAACGTGGGCGGGGGGGTCCTGTGGCAGCTGTAAATCTGCTGTCATTATAACCGCACAAGTCAGGACATCTCAGCCCTCCCCTCCGAGATCCCGGACCTTGCTCCCATGCCCGGGTCTCTGCTCCCACCCCGCAGGGAGCACCCTGCCAGCCCCCTGTAAAAGAACAGAAGACAGATCACCTAGCGCGCCGTGTGCAGCTTGGGGCAGGTGGGAGGAGGCTGTCGGCCCCCTCCAGATGTGGGAGGGGCGTGCCACGGGAAGCAGGCCTTGAAGGAGAAACCCCGAGGCCTCTGGCTTGGAGCCCAGGGATCCGGGGCTCCTGCACTCGCTCTGCTCCACGGCTACACGTGCGGGACAGTCCAGATGATTTCTAGGACTCTCAGCCTTAGCCGTTATTCCTGAGAGAAAAGGGTGGCTTGGGCAGAAAGGGACGGAGAGTAAATTACCCCGAGAATTTTCTGCTGGTGTTGCAAATAAAGGAGGGACGGTCTAGAGCCGGGTACGGGCCTGCTACGGCCCTCTTGCTCCGGGGAAGACAGGGTGCCAGGGCCGAGCAGGGCTGTCCTGGGGCAGGGGGCTGCTGCTGAACGCCGGCTGGCTGGCTGGCCGGCCCGAAAGCCTCCTAATTGGGACTCTTGGGGGGAGGCAGGGGAGGGAAGGGGAGGCTCGCACAGTGCTGAGAAGCAGAGGAGCTGAGCTGGGAACAATCAGCTTCTTGCTGCCAATTCTAAGTTTTCTTTCACAAACTGGGGGTGGGGAGGATGGGGCCAGGCTGCAGACTTCTAAGGCAGGTGGCTCTCGGCGGGCCGAGTAGCCAGGACCCGTCAGGGCCATGACCCGGACAGAGCAGGAGGAGGCTGCAGAAGCCCGCGTGATTTCCAGGTCTGCCTGGTGCCCAGCACCCGCGGCTTGTCCTTAAAAACATCTGCGGGCATGAACAGCCCAGGGATTTTGCCTGTAGGACGGCTTGGCCTGCCTTGCATTCTTCTCTCAGAAGAAGGAAGGCTTCTCCTCACCCCATTTCACAGAGGAGGAAACTGAGACACGAGAGGCAAGTAACTTGTTCAAAGCCAGAGCAACTGCAAAGCTCAGATTCAAACTTCAGAGCCTACATCTCTTGCTTTAAAAAGAAAATGTGTCGGGACCCCTGGGGGGCTCCATCAGGGAAGCATCTGACTCTTGATTTCAGCTCAGGTCGTGATCTCAGGGTCGTGGGATCAGCAGGGAGCCTGCTTAAAGGATTCTCTCTCTTCCTCTCCTCTGTCCCTCCCCCTGCTCACTCACATGCTCTCTCTCTTTTTCTAAATAAATAGGTAGATAAAAATTTTTTTTAAAAAGATGTCCTATGATTTAACTATAAAATAATAACTATGCCTTGATTTTTTTTTTTTTTCCTAAATACAAATGGATTCAAGCAGGGATTTTGTTTCTTGCTGCCCCAGCCTTCAGCGTCACAGGGAGAAAACAGCAGTGCGTGGCCTTTTGCGTTCCTGCAATGAGAATGGACTCCCCCCACCCCCACCCTTGGAATTGTTAAAAATGTTCAGACATCTCCCAAAGCAGAGGGAAAACAGTAATAACTTTAGAAGACCCTAACGCATCCCAGCTTTAACAATTCCCAGCTCATGGCCAAATGTGTCCTGTCTGTTCCCCAACCTCCGACTCTGCTCTGGAATATTGTCGAGCAAATCCCAGGCCACCGTATCATTTCATCCATACACAGTTCTGCCAAGAAGTATTATAAAGCCTCCGTTTCAGACACAACCACAGTACCCACACCGTCATCATCATGCCTAAAAATACCACCACTCCCCTTGATGTCATCGGATATGCCATCGGCCCTGATTTCTTCGACTAGTGGCTGTATTTGCTTCAGGATCCCAATGAGGTCCTCACGACGGCAGCTGGTTCGGTGTTCCTTTGGGTCTCGGCGGATCTAGAGAGTCTCTCTCTCTCTCTCTCTCCTTTCTCGCTCTCTTTTTCTTGTAATTTATCTAGTCAAGAAACGTAATCATTTGCCCTATAGAATTTTCCGCAGCCTGGATTTTGCCGATTGCCTCTCTGTGGGGTCATTTAACACAGGCCTGTGAATGCATTGCTCGCAGCAAATTGGAACTTAAAACTAGAGGCTTGATCAAATTCAGGTTTGGTGATTTTGTGGTTTTTTTTCCCCCCAAATATTGTTTCCTAAATGGTGCTGTGCCCTTACATCAGAAGGCCTAAGGTCTAGCTGTCTCTCTTACTATCGCGTGGTGACCACCGACCACCCTGTATGACCTGTTATTTCAGTTGGACTGCAAAATGGGGACGGTCAAATATTATAATTTCTCCTTGATGTATTAGCAGAAATGTTTTCCAGTAAAAAGAAATTTCCCCCCTTACCAACTCTTTGCTTACCTAAAGGTGCAGTTCATCTAGGAAAATCCTGGTCAAAACTCTGTCCTTTTCCATCACCTACCAATTTCAGAGTCAGGAATGACATTCCTTAGCATCTTCTAAAGTGACGGGTGAATTTGGATGGGGGAGAGGAGGACTTTTTTTGTTTAATTGTTGGTAAATTATTATGTACTCAAGCATTTTTAACTCATCTGGTAGGTTTCAACCATGGCTATCATTATTCGTGTTGATGCCAGATGGGCCCATCGTTGGCGTCTTTGGTTGCTGAATCCTGTTGAAGGGGCCCCGGTAGGCTGATAGGATGGTTCAAGCTATCTCCAGTTCCTGCCCGGTCCCTGGGATCAGCCGTGACTTCAGGCAATCTTGTTCTTTTCGGTGGGAAATGATAGATACCACAGCCTAGGCCCTGAGGGCTCTCCTTAACACCAGCTAACACTGAAGGCCATTTCTAGGCTCTGTTAATGGACAGCTGGGAAATGCTTCACCTTCTCCTCCTCCTTTTCAGATAAGACACATACAGATAAACTTCAACTCAATTTCAGGGCTATAAGCTCTTTAATCATCTTATAGGTCTTTGTCTCTCTTTCCTCCATACCGAAAATCCAGTTCCTACAACACCAGCGTAATTACCTGCCTACTTTATCCCCAAAACACCCACAACCGTCTCAGAACAGTCATCCACCACGCTGAGGACCAAAGATCGTGGCAGGTGATTTGCAGCGCTTTCGGTACCTGGGGCGCATCCCGCTGGGGACATCCTTCCCCTGCCTGGGCTACAAAGGCTCCAGAAATAGTTTCTCTCTGTGTAAGTTTGCTGCAGCTCAATACAGCGCTAGGTCGATTTGTTTCATTTTGGTTTCGATTTTTAGGGATTGATTTTTTAATTTAATTTTGTTCTATAATTATGGAACATAGTTACGTGGTTCCAAAGTTAGATATACAAAGTACGTTCACAGAAAATCAGCCTGAATTCTCCTTTCCCTCCGCCATAGGTTTGATTTCTTTTTGTCTGGTTGGTTTGGTTTTTCCTTTCATTTCTTGAACATAAGCAAATGCAAACATGTATAAATGTGTGTCCCCCACCCCTTCTTCGATAAAGGACACTCTACATTTTCTCCATCTTGCTTCTTTATTTGCATTATATCCCGGGGATTGTGCCGTAGGAATATAGAGATTCTGGTTTCCTTGTCAACATCTGTGTTGGACTCCATGGCATGGCCTTCCACGTTTGGTTTCCACGTTACGTTTCCAGTTTGGTCAGGCAGCTCCCCCGCAGTGACATTGGGGTTGTTTCCAGACTTTTACTATAATGAACATCTCTGCAGTGGATATCTTTGTGCATCTATCTTTTCATATTCTTCACATTTCGCTTTGGAATAGATTCATAGAAAGGAGATTGCTGGGTCAATGGATAAATGTATATATAATTTCCCTGCTACTGCCGAATCCTTCCATGATTTTTAAAATTCT